GCAGTTCAAAGGGGAATTTTATTTACATGAAAATAACAGCCATTTATGAACAAAAACAATGAAAATATATTTTTACAGTTGAAATATACTGAAAATACTTATTTTAATGGAATTGGTATTCGGTCTTCAGCATTTCCTACAAATAAGTAATTCCTGAAAATAGTACAAAATATCATGCTTTTATTCAGGCTTGCTTTCCTAAGCAGGCTAAAGGATAAGTTTTCAAATTACTTTTGAAAAACATAGCTATCTTAAGTGACTATTTCAGAGCTGTCAGAATAGGGTTTTGAACTTGATGCCCAAACTAACCTCAGTCCAACAATAACATTCGTGATAGACAGTTTTTCAACATCTTTCATTAATCAATTTAAGAATCTCCTGGACTTCAGAATCACTCAAATGACAGAGACCAGTTTCTAAGTCTTGCATGGAAAGAGGTGCAGTAGAGCCAAGGAAATATTCTGTCATGGTTATATATTTTTAGAGGACAATTACAAGTGTGAAGAACATGCAGGTCTTTCATGGGCAGCTCATATGTATTATTACAGGCATGAACTTCATGCCTTCCATGCAACACATGCAATGTCTGAATACATAGCAAGTTTCATGAGGTCAAACATCTGCAGTGTTACTGGTTGTTCACAAGTTTGATCTATCATTTAAAATCTGTGAAAAATCTTTTGGCAGCTAATCAGCATTAAGTATCTGGTTTAAATCAGCAAATAGGCAAGAAGTAATTTGATTTAAATGGATCCAAATAAAATAGGTGTTGACAATTAGAAAATACTTCTAAATAACAAACTGTCGTGATAGAGCTTGATCCTATGAAATATGGCCAAATCTACAAAAATCCACAGGGAATGTGCTGATTGTATTGGTTGTTGAATAGAGCACCAAGAAATTACACTTCCAATTCAGTAGTTTATTTGCAGTAGCTTTTCTATTGTGCTACTGCTGACCTGATGCAAATAAGATGTCTTCATGGTCCATTTAAAAGATATAAGAATTTTCATTTTGAAACTCAATTGCCATTTTATCTGCAGTGTGGGTTGCCAGTATTTCTTACTCTTAGTCACTGTGTGCTGCTTCCCTGTAAAATAGTTAACAGACAAAAGATAACATTTACCAAAGTCATTGTACATTTTGCAGGTTTCTTGCTTCTCCTAACACAACTAACTTGTGTACATCCAGATGTCTAAGTCACCACTTCCTCTCGGTGGCTGTTTCGAATGCTCCTACACAACCAGTTTCATGGCTAGTCCACTGACAAATCACGTTTCAGATAGTACTAAAGACCTGTTGTTCTTCTTCTCTGAGTCTATCTTGAATCTTGGCAGACTTCACAACACAACTATGAGGTCTGCCTGTCTAAGGCTTTCCTTTCAGCCCACCTTTCTAAACCATCCCAGACTTAAAAAAAGATTTCTTTCTGACTTCACCAGACTGTGGGGAGCACTGTGCTCCAGGACGGTGTAGATGAATAGAGATGAGAGATCTCTGAAGGCTGCTCTTCGGATATAAGGTTTATTAGGGATGGAGAAAGGTCTTGCTTGGAGGTGCCAGACGCAGCACGTGGCAAGGCTCGAAGGGATGGGGTAGGGGAGAGACAAGAGGATGCTCTAGGAGAGGGTGGAGGTCTTAAGAGGGGGGAAGATCCAAGAGAGAGGAAGTTCCAAGAGGAGGGGAAGTTCCAAGAGGGCATCTGGCCCCTCGGAGACCCCTTATCAGGGGCCTTCAAGATGGGCTGGAACAAGGCTCGGGCCAATGGGGTTACAGGCACTTGATGTTTTAGGGGGGAGGGTTACAGGTGCAGGATGAACCATACATTTTAGGGGGTGAGATGGAACAGTCCACTTGACTTTTGGACTTATCTGTAGGTAAGGGTATTGTCCAGCCAGTATGGAGGATTGTTTTCATCCTGGCTGTATTATTATGAATAATTATATTTATCCATCCTTCCCAACACCAGAAAGGTCAGAGGTTATTTTCCTATGTGATTTTAGCTCGTGAACATATAAGTCAGTAATATGGAAAGTTGATTCTCCCAAAAGAAACAGCCCAACAGTATCAGTTCTGAAAGGATTTCTACTGTAATTATGTAATAGTAGAACACTAAATCTCTTAAAAATAATGAAATATTATGTTAGGGAGAAAAACTTAATCCTTCTGAAAGCATTCAGTTGTCTAGGCAAGCACTGCCTATTTACTATGACCAAAGCAATTTTTGGCAGTATTAATAATGCGCAGAAACAACAGAACTGTTTTCTGTCAGGAATAAAATGACCCGTGCAGGGAACAATGCTGTCCTGGGAGATGTCCCCTGTGGAATTTCTGAAGGGCTGAAAACAATTACAAAACTCATAGGTTTTTTGCTGAAATGCAAAAAACCTCACCTCATTAAACAGGAGTACATAATACATTATGTATAAAGCACTCAACTCACTAAATAAACATTTTACAACAGGGTAAAAAATGGAACAGAGAAGAACAGGAATCACAAAAATCCTATCTTGTTGTTAAATTACATGCTTTTGGAAATCATTCTGGTAGAAATGTCTACAAGATCTAGGCATACACATATGAAAAAGTCATTGCAGGCTCTCTTTTGATGGAGGGAAGTTAAGCAGTTCATTGGATGTCTACAATTCACATCTAACATGAGTCAGATAAATAATTACCAGTAGGGAGACCTATCTCCATTAACCATAAAGGGAGTACAGTTTGACTGGCTCAGATATTCAGGGCTAAATTGTTCATATCTAACATGAGATGAATTCCAACCTCAGAGACCACTGTAATGAGCCTGCATAAGACCATGAAGATGTGACAATTAATTAACTCTTTGGCAACTGGTCTGTACTGCAGAATTCGCCGTGCAGGTGTAGGGAGCAGGAACACAAGAAACAGGCAAAGCAGTCTGCCTTGTGAAGGGGGCATAGAAGCAATGCAAACAAATTTACATGCGAGTACTCACCACACAGAAACCAGCAACACCCTGACTGCTCTGGTCCAGCAGGACCAGAAAGGATCCCTTCCTTCCCCACCACCCCCTGCACATGGCAGGAGGCTGTATAGGATAACCTCAGAGTCCTGGCCATGCCTTTCCTGCCTACTGCAAATGCTAACAGCATCCCAGCCATAATCAGGGCATAGCTGTACTACTCATGGGCAAGAACTACACAGCTTAATTCACAAAGTTTGTCTCTGGTTGTTACCAGATAAGAGTTACTGCATCCTTTTCTGTAAGTTATTTATTGAGAAGAAATCTGTGTGGAAGTAGGGGTGAAGGTTTGTTTAGTCATCTTATGGAACCCATTGTGTGTATAAATGTCACAATATCTTATGGCAGCACATGGTAACAGAGATTTCAGATAAGGTCAACCTTTGTGTAATATGGTTTACTATACAATAATTAGGTGGAAAAGAGACAAAAACTATTATCAATTTATATTTAAACAGCATTCTGTAATGAGTACTATGTGCTTGAGTAATATACAGAACTAAAATACATAATCTTATATTTTTAAACAAACATAGTTAATCTGGTGAATATTAAGTAACATCTTGTAAATCTTGTAAATGTTTTGCACTAAGATTAAGCCAAGTTATTTCAGAATCTATAATTCCTCAATAATAAATTGTTATACTATTTTCAGCAATGAAAATATTTATATACATAGTCTATGAGCAACTGAGACTGATAGCAGAAAAAGAATTATTATATCATAATGTCTGTAAGCAAAATTACATTATGAACTGCCAATTATTTGGTCTCATTTTTGAATATAAATAAACAAGAAATTAATTTCTTTTGGTGGAAGGGCAGAAATAAGATGACTACTGCATATGTACAAGGGGCTAATGCATAGGATTATGTTTAATTGTAAATTTATATGGTATTCTCTGTCTTGCTAGGAAGCTAAAGGAAAAAGATGACATCTTTCTAAAGATGAGGGTTAGAACTGAGAGCCACAAGCATGTCACAGACACAAGATGGCTCTGCAGGAAACTTGAACAGAGGCAAGGATGTCTTTTCATAATGTTTTGAAAGCAGTGTGAGCATGGTGATCTCATTGATAGGAGGAAATTCAGAATTGAGAGTACACCTTGTGTGAAACCTTTCTGAAGGCACTCTCATTTGGGAGCATTATATTATAAGAAAGTGGACCATTTTTTGGATGTAAGATGCCTGTGGACATACCTGGCTCACGGGAAGGACTTGAATTTGCAATACATATTTTGTTACTGACATCCATGATTGGGTTGGGGTTTTTTTGCTTTATCTGGGTGTGAGATGCATATTACCCACTGTTGTTCTTGATAAGCAGCTTCAGCTGCTGAGTTTTTATTCTTTTGGCCAAAATGGTAAGCTTTAATGAGTGGTTTGAATTGTTGGTGGTCTCTGTGCTGTAAAAGTGGAAGTTAGTGAATATTCTCATGTTTTAAGGAAGTGCAAGCTTGTAAGATTTCCTTAAATCCAAACAATACTTCTTTAAGAACTGTAGTATAAAGTGAAGTTGTTTAAACCCAGTAGGCAATGTTTTTAATGTTTTTATTTTCTGTACATCATAAAGAATAATTTGATTTCTTTACATACATACTCTGAAGCCTAATATATGTATTGACATTCCAACTGATACGTACTTGTGAGCTGTAGATTATGGTATGATCCCATTAAATATTTTATGATAGGAGAATTAGAATATTATGACAAATAGAAGGAAAGTTTTGCCATTCTTTATAGGATGAAATAAATTTAAGCCTCCTGAAAACAGCAGTTAATGCAGTTCATATATTAAAACATGATGTTAAGTGTATCAAAAACTAAGATGTAAGTTGAAAAGGGCAGGATAAAAATGCTTTTCCCGGTAAGACTTCATAACAGTTTCTAGTTCCTAGCTCTTACAATTTTATCTTTATATTTTCCTTAGAGTTTTTTATAAATATTGTCATTTAAGCAACTAAGCAGTTTCCTTTCTTTTTTTGTTTTCTTTACATAGCAGATGGTACGTGAACAGTACATGACAACGACACCAGGCACGAGCCTAGAGAGGCCAAAGAATGAATATATCTACAAAATTGGAATTTATGGCTGGAGAAAGCGTTGTCTCTACCTGTTTGTTCTCCTCCTGCTTATCATCCTAGTTGTGAATTTTTCTTTGACAATTTGGATTCTTAAAGTGATGTGGTTTTCCCCAGTAAGTGTCCTCTTTAATTTTCCATTCTTGACTTCTCTTCCCTGCCTTACCCTTTCACTTATTTTGTATGTACACCAGCTTATCTGTAGGTAATAGATGGTGCTTTTTTCTTTCTTCTCAACTGTGATTTGTAATTTGGCTGAAAGTAAGTTAGAAAAATCTATCTTTGAATGTACTTCCTCATATGTAATTTCTGCATTAGTAATAATTCTTGAAATACTGAGGTTGTTGATGCTTTAAATTACAGTGAATTCTAGCCATTCTGTGAGAATGTATTTTACTGTTGTCTCATAATCTCTGTTTAGTTGATAGTTTACAAATGTGTATGCTGTAATTTTATCTCATAGATAATTCCTCAGTTAAAATACTGCTGACAGCTGCTGTAGTTTTTTAGCTTCTTTCTCCAAATTATAAGCATCTAAAATTTAACAATTTATTTGCCCAATTAATTACAGCTCAGAAGTAATTATCACTACTTCATGCTTGAGGCTAAGCAGCTATATAATTCAGAAGTAAAATTAATAACTTTCCACTGTCATATATATTTTAATATTTATAATGGAATTTTGCATGTAGTCGATTAAAGGGTAAGTTCCAGAAGTCTGCAAGATATGACTTTAGTGAGAATGGAATAAAATGCATCAATGAATATTGAAGCTTAGCTAATTTGCTTCTAACATGGAGTTGTGATACACAGATGATTTGAATAGACTTGTTACAAGAAAAACCATAATAACAAATTTTTACAGCTCTGCCATGGCTAGTGAAGAAGGTTTCTCTTATCTATTGTTATTACACCTCTATCACTAAGTGAAGACCACTTTATCTTAATATAAATATTTCTATGCTCACTAAAAAGAAAGTATGTTAATTTTCAGTACTACTTACTAATACAGTTTTTAGTGCTTTAATTCCTGTAAGAGGTCTTCCCCTACATGAATTCTTTACAGCACTGTTACTATCATACAGATTACAGTGCAAAACATCCCATATAATTTTTATCTTATGCAGCTCACATGAAAGATATGCCTTTAGTGCCCGCATGTCATAGATCACATAGAACATGAAAAACTTACATTTTTTTTTCTGGCTCAGGGTCCTATTTTTACAGAGTTTTAAAAAATATTTTATGTTGATTTGATTTCTTCATATGAACCTGGGTATTTCTTCTCCGATACCAGTGAGGACTAAAAATAAAACAACACTAGACAGTCAACTTATAGGAATACCCATCTCCTTGTAGTTCCTGTGTGGAAGATACCAAATGCCTTGATCTGCTGAGGGACAGTGTTCTTCAGCTTTTGCAACCAGAGCAGTGGAGTAACAGCTCTAGCAGTGCAGGTTTACATCCTTTCACAGAGTGGGCTGTGAATGCCACAATTACAAGGAATTTCCTAATTCTGTGTGAAAGAATCTATATGTCTGATGTGCCCAATTGGATAGTGATTTAACTGTAATGCCTTCATCAATTTGGGATAATTTTAGGGAAATACTGAAATTCATATAAATATCAACTGTAAATACATTTGTGCAAAGTGCACATGTATGTCACAATTCTCAACAAAAGAACATGTGATGTTAAGAGGAGAGAACTTCTTTTACTGGGTGCTATTTTAATAGACTACATCTCTCAAGACAAGAAGTAACTAAGGATACCAGAAATATCACCCAGAGAACTGAGTCTAAGAAGGATGTTTAGTGCACGATCAAAGTCTGGAAGTATATAATTGAAGCATCACAGTTCTTTCCTCTGTCTAAGGAAACACCTATTGTGAAGAATTAGTGTGATAGTTATAAGAAATTGCCAATACGATCATAAAAACCTTTTCATGATGGAATTAAGCATTTATTTCTCAAAGTATTTTGTTGCTGTTTAAAAAGAGAAGTATCAGTATAGTGTCACAATTAGATTTTTATGATTCGTGAGTTCCAAGCTTGACAAGTATTTGCTGTTTAGGAAATGAGTTGATTCATGTTTATCATACTTAACCAATTAAGAATTTCCATGATTGGGAAGAGTTGTAAAGTAATTGTGAAATATTATCCTATTATCTGTTATTTAGCAAATATTAATCTGTCAACTGTGATAACACTTATATTTATTAATTGTATTCAGGTATACTGTATAGAGATTATAGGACTTATTATGTTTAATATTCATAATAGATACTGTATTTTTAGCTAATACTTTAAAAGCATTTGATCCTAGTTTTAAAAAAATTCTTTAAGATCACTCTTAAAAATATCACTTTTAACAATATTTAAATATTGACAGCTAATAAGATATTAACAGCTTTTTCTCTAAAATAATACAAGAAACAAGTTGTATTCTCACTAAGGTTGATAAGCTTATTTAGGAAAAAAAGTCGCAAACATTTAAAAATATATTTTTATAGCAGAATCCTGAAGAGAGTTTACACTGAACAAAAATTTTATACATAACATGACTGCAGTATATAATTATATAAGGAAAACAGTTTTTCAATAATAGGGGCACTGGTGCTTTCATGATTGATCGACATGATTCTATAGCACAGCCATTTCTTCAGCCCACTCAGAGCTGACAAACTGGTTATTTAGACATCAAAGTTTCTTTAGTTATATAAAAAGTGTTCTCTTTTTCTATAAAACATCCTTGACTCTTTCATTAAGTAATAACTTGCAGTAATAAGTTGCATTCAAAAATCACATGCTATGTCTATTCAGAGATCCAGAATAAAATAATAATGAAATTATGAACAGAACTTGAAGAAGCTCTGGCATTGAATTAATCCATGCACACATGTCCTGCCTTAACCCCCATAAAACCAGACAGTGTGATAAATACTAGCAAAGAAGCTAAGCTGATAAAGGAGAACATGAACCAGACATAGATATGCTGCAAGATGAATAGAGTTTGATCTCCTTTTACGAATTTGGAGTGATGAAAGACAGAAACTTTTCTAACCTCTATTGTTTGAGTGGCCTTCAGCATCAAATGTAGATTACTAAATTGAACAGAATTCATTGTTTCATTTCATTTCATAAAAGCTAGACTAAAAGAGAAAAACCTGAACAGAGAATATATCCCTTTTCTCATGCTGCCCAATTAAAAAACATATGGGCATCTCCAAGTTGTGCACATTAATTCAAAGGTATCAGCTGTCTCTCATTCATTTTTTTTCCTTTTCTGCCTAGGAGTTCAGAGGGACAGGGTCTCAAGTTTTTTTTTGTGGGAATAAGCGAAGAAACCTGTGAGTTCATTATATTCAGCTGTTTCAGAGAAGACATTCAAATAATTATGCCTTGAGTTTGGTGAATATGATAAAATAGAATAGTTTTTAAAATAGCATCATTTTCTGTACAAAAATCAGTTTGAAAAAGGGTTGGGTTTTTTCCCCAGGACAACATATCACATTTTGCATGTAATGAAAATTTCAGATTCTGTTTCTAGCATAATGAGGCTTTCTGAGCACTAAAGGGGACTGCTAGTTTTAAGAGTTTAGAAAACTTAAGGTATTTAAGGCTGCAAGGATGTCAGAAGTCCTGTGGACAATTCTGAAGGATCCATTAGGTCTGAAAGAGAGAACCTTCGATGTCTCTGATATCTGCTGAAAGACAAGTGTAGCAGGATGGAAGCAGTGAAGATTTCTAGAGGGTGTCAACAACTTCTGAAGAGGACACAGAGGTATCACACAGGTGGATCTGCTATTCACAGGATCTCATGGGAGACAGATCTGAAGGATAAAGTTACCCAGAAAAGCTAGATCAACTTTCAGGACTGTATCCTGCAAATGTAGGAATGATCACTCCTGATAGCTAGAAAGATAAAAATCCTGGCTTAGCTAGGCAGGTTACTTGTGATGGAGCTTCAGTGAAAAAGCAGTATAGAAGAGTTGGAAGCAGATACAGACTACAAAGAAGAAATTTCTAAACAATGTCTGGGCCAGGAAATATGTCAAGCTTTCCGTGTCAGGAATGCCAAAGCTCAGCTTCAGTTAAGAATAACAAAGGGCAAATGTCAACAAGATAGTATGCATCCATTGGTGCAGAGAGAACTGATTCTCCTGCAGTCACCCTCTACAGTGTTTGAAAGGTTTTGGAGACTGGGGAGATCCTTGATGACTGAGTGAATGCAAGTGTTGCACTTGTCTTTAGAAAAGGGGGCCATGGGTTTACCAAGGGTGAATGATGCCTGACCAATCTGATTGCCACTTTATGTTAAAACGTCTGGAATTGTAGATGATGGGAGGACACAAAATATCATTTACCTTGACTTCAGCAAGTCTCCTGACTCTCTCCCACAATATTCCATTACCCTAGATAGGATATTACAGCCATGAGGAGTGGACAAACACATAAGTATAAAAAGTAAACTGCCTGGGTAGTTGGGCTCAGAATGTAGATGCTAATGTGTTATGGAGGGCAGTAATAAGCATTGCAGTTGTTTTGTCCTAGCTCTTGTCCTTTTCAAAAACTTAATAAATGACTTGGAGGAGGTGACAGGATGCTTGCTCACTGAATTAGCAGGTTATACCAGTTTTGGGGGTACCATTCAAAATTTCCAAGGCTCAGGCTGGAGGTCACACTAGCTCTAGTCCAGGATTGTCATGCTAGGTCTCATGAACTCAGGTGTGAAAAATGCACCTGATCAGGTGATTACCATTCCTGATGCTCTAACAAATCTTCCTCAGAAACACCTCATTAATTCAGTTATTGTATTATTTAGGTTTTGCCACTTTACCATAACATCAGGATCAGTTGTGTGCCAAAGATTATGTCTGGATTTTTTTTTGCCTCTGATGAAGAAACCTGTTTTCCATGGATTTTAGTGGATGGTCTTCTAGAATAAGAAAGGAAATTGCACTGTATTTCATTTTTATAAGGGCAGATAGTAATAAAACTATAGTGTTCACCAGGATAACTTCAGTGTGGAGTTTCCTCTGACAAAAATTTTAAGCACAGTGTAAGAGAAGTAGACAGGTCTTTATAGTTTTAGATGCACTGCTAGTTAAACATAA